TTCTTTCTTTCTCTCTCTCTTTCTGGTCAAATTTAAAAAAATAATAGTAATAATAACAAATGGAATTAAATAAATAAATACATCTTTTTAAAAAGCTATCTTTTCATTTTTAACTTGAGGGCAATTTTAAATACTAATAAAGTTTTGGTCTTAATTTTTACTCTCTCTGTTATTACTTTTTTTAAGGTAAAATAGAAATAAATGAGACATATCATTTGCTATATTCTGGTTGTAGACTTTGGTTTAGTATTGTTAAAACTAAACCCTGGGAGCTGGCAGGTGGCATGGTGGTAAAGGTGCTGGACTCCCACATGGCCGACTGCGGTTCAAGTCCTGGACCTGGTGGTTTCCTTTCTCACTTTCCCTCTCTCTCTTTCTCTGTCTCTCTCTGATCAAACTGGAAAACGATAATAATAAATAAAGTTAAATAAAATAATATTTTTAAAAAACTAAACCCTGAACTTTCAGCTTATAAAGGTAATATGTATTGACTACAGAGAATATTCTAATAAGAGAAACAAATTATCCACAATCTCAGAAAGTTTTTAACCATTGTCAACATTTTTAAAAATTATTTTATTTTTAACTTTCATTTATTATTTATTTATTTATTTGTTTGTTTTAATTTGACCAGAGAGGGACAGAGAGAGAGAGAGAGGGAGGGAAAGTGAGAAAGCAAGCCACCAGGTCCGGGACTCGAACCTCGGTCAGCCATGTGGGAGACACACACTCTTAGCTGCCATTCCACCTGCCGGCCCCCCATTGTCAACAATTTACTGTCTTTTTTCTCCTTTATACTGTACATTTATTTTGGAGTTTTGTTTTTATATAACTTTATATCATAAACATTTTCCATAATTTAAAAAATTCCCTGGAAACATTGTCATGGCTGTAAAACATTTTACTATGTGGAGTACTATAATTTTCACTCTACTGGGGATTTACATTTTTTTTTCAGGTTTTCTGCAGTATACATTTTGGAGTGTAGACTTTAACTGCATTTCCTTCTAAAGTGTTTTTCACATTCTTAGACAAAAATTCCACTTTGTTTTAATTTACAATTTTTTATTACTGAAAATAGGTCACATTGTTTTTCAAATACTTAGAAGCCATTTGCACTTGTTTATTCTGTCCACTTATGTACTTTGCTCCTTTATCTAGGTTTGTTTTTTGTTTTGTTTTCTATACAGCAGATATACTCACCAGAGAGAAAGTGAGAAATCACACACACACACACACACACACACACACACACACACACCGCCGCCAGGGGATTGCCACAGTGCCCTTTTCTCCAGTCCTCTCAGGATTTTAGGCACACATGCATACCAATGTGATTTTCAGGCTGTCGGGTCTGGGACTTGAACCATGTAGTTGACTGTGTGGGATCCAGCACCTCCATGCCACCTGCTGGCTTCCATCTAGTTTGTTTTGTTTTGTTTTTGTTTTTTAATGAGCCTTGCCCTTTATCATATTTATTGTAATGTTTTTCCACAGTATGTTGATTACCTTTTAATTTGGCTTATTTTGGGTTTAGATTTGTAAAATTGTTAAAAAATAGTCAAATTTCTCAGTTATTCTTGTGATTTATTTCCTTGCTTCTGAGCTTAGAAAACTCAAATTTCTCAGTCATATTTTTGTAATTTATTTCATTCCTTTTGAGTTTAGGAAACTATCATACTCAGAGATCCAATAATTTAATTTTTCATAAGAAAATTTTACATTGGTGAGGAAAACTTAATCTTGCCTTCATGATATTTGTTTATTCTTTTGATTTTAGGTTGGCTGTGGTGCTGGAAATAGCGTTTTTCCAATTCTGAACACCCTGAAGTGAGTTTTAGAGTTTTCTCCTACAGAACTTTATGTGTTTATGGGATTTTGAAAAATTCTGGGAAAATTCCTGTAGTATTCTTAATTCTCATATAAGCAATAACTAAAACAAATTTCCAAAGAAGTGTCTTAGTCTTAATGTCTAATTTCACAGGAACTGGGAATTACTCTGAAAATAAATGTTTCACAGTCATGTGTTATCCAGCATGGATTTTAAGTAATTTTTAAGCTTGTATTTATGTGGCTTCAAGGATTTTAAAAAGTAAGAGATTTCATCCTTTGACTAAGCTGTCCATTGCTAAACTTCAGAGATCATTTGCTCTTTCCGGGTATTCAGATGTCATTTTACTCACAGAGAATTGAGATTAAAGCTTACATTACAGTCTTCATTTTATTTTGTTGTCACTTCTGGAGCAATACCCAATATAAGACCTTCACATGTCACATCCTTGTGCCTAGGCTTGAAACTCTTTGGAGGTAGTAGTAGCTAATGCTAACACTCAAAATAACAGAAGTAGGCAATAAGGACAGCAATGTTCCCTGACACACCCTTCCTATCCACCTGTATGTTCTAGTGTGTTTGTAATTAAGAAGGAACACCTTGACAAACTCTTCAGATACCTCTACTATGGCTGGCCTGTCAACTTCTAGTTTTATTTCTTTTTTAAGTTTATACACTAGTTTTCACCTTTTTTTTTTTTTTTTTTTTTAGGATTTTGTCACAGGGTACATACACTCTCCAAAAGTGATGTGACAGTGAGAGGTAAAGTGAGAAATCATCCCAGAGGGGAAATGGCCACAATCCCTTCTCCTCCATTCTCATCCTGGATTTTGGGCACACATGCACATGGGCCCAGCATGATTTTCAAGCCAGTAGGTCCTAGATTCAAACCATTGTCAGCCATGTGAGAGTCCAGCTCCTTAACCACAATACCACCTGCTGACCCCACATTATTTTTTAATTATTAAATCAACATAGACATGTTATAGACCATTTCCATTAGAAGAAAGAGAGGGGGATTACTTATCATATTCATCATTCTAACATAATCACTGGTGGAATTACTATTTTAATTCCTTCCACCTTATCTCCATATATATTTTTTAATTTAACAATGTGAACTTTAAACTTTTCATTATGAAAATGTAAGTACATTTGGAAAAGCAGAAAGTAGTACAGTGAATTTTCATATACCTACCATTTTATTTAACAAATTTTGTTTTTGTTTGTTTTTTTAGAGGTTTTTGCTATAGGGCGCATGCACTCACCAGAAAGACAGAGAGAGACAGAGAGACAGAAAGTGAGAAATCATCCCCCAGGGGGATGGCCACACCACAATCCCTTCTCCTTCATTCTCCTCTTGGGATCTTGGGCACTCATGCACATGTGCTCAACATGAGTTTAAGCCACAGGGCCCAGGAGTCAAACTGCAGTCCACTCCATGGGAGTCTAGTGACATAGCCATTATGCCATCTGCTGGCCCCCATTCAACAAGTATTAACATAATGCCAAAATTATGACCCATTATCTTTGTTCAGGATCTATGTCAAAAACAAACAAACAAACAAAACTGAGATATTCTTAAATGCTCTTATAAACCTAAATAATGAATAGTAAGTAATTTCCTAATATCATGTAAGGACTGGTAAAGACTAGCTAAGTAGCCAGGCACAGATGAAGCTGGTATATTTACAGTTCTAGATAGTCTTTTCTCTTTTTGTATTTATTATCTTTGATGAAATTTCCTGTTTCCTTATACCACATAACCGGATTCCTTTCCTTTGCCCCAGTGACCTTGTAACACCCATAAATAAACTACATTGGCGGTGGATAATGTGTTACTTTATGACTGATTGCAAGGTACTATTTAGCACACTTCTTTGTGCATGTTTCTCCAAACACTTTGTATTTCCTTGAGGTAGAGAGCACATTCTATCCTAATCTGATATCCCAAATCACCTTACAGTTCAATATAGATAGAACTCAATGTATATTGACTGATTAATATCTGATTCCCCACTTGGTAGCTGTATTTTCTCCCTCTCTACATCCCTCCATCTAACAATTGCACACTCTTGACCCCTTTTGGCTGTGTCTTTCTTTACCTCATACCCAAGCTTTAGAAACCACAGTAGCTCAATAACCTGAGATAATTAATTCATCTTTAAAAAGCAACCAGTGATTAGCCTTCCAAAGGGAGGATTAGACATTTCTTCCACTTAAGAAATTATGTTTTATTACTTTTGGCGAGTCTAGGATTAATGTTTTACATTTTCAGAATATTTTACCATAATTAGACCTCTAGCATGGAGGGGTTGTATCATTCTCCAAGGATCATTTAATTCTTAAACCTCCTGCCAAGAGAGTGCTTGGTGGTGTAGTGGTAGTAGTGATATTTATACCCAGCTTGCTGGGAGAAGGGCCAAGGCAGTCAGCTGATTTTATAGAAAGGCTCTGGAAAGTCATTGAGTGGTCACAAGACTTCAACTTGGGCTGCTGACGCAGTGGGAATTCAGTCTCAGAGGTCATGCTGCCACCCTGCTAGGACACATGGCAAATGGCACATACTTTCCTTTAGTTCCTAGACTATACTGAATACTTATGGGTATTCAGTAACTACTGTCCAAAGGTACACTGCAGACCTTTCATAATGAGCTAGATGTATGCATGTCCAGAAAAAAATTTGAGTTATATAGAAGTTTTTAGAGGACAATGTTAGTTTGTAAATTCCTGGAAGGCAAAGACAGATCTCTTTTAATAACATTAATAGCAACACTAACGATAACAATGACTAACATTTATTGGATGCTTTCTCTGAGGTACCTTTCTAGAAAGTTTACCTATATGATGAACCCAGTCAATCTTTATAACTACTCAGATGCCATATTTGTCTCTATTTTAAAGATTGGGAAATATTTTTAAAAAGATTAGATAACAATCCCAAGGTCACATAATTAAGTGGTACAGCCAAGAATCAAACCCTAAAGCAGTCTGGTTCCATAGCCCTCATCCTTAGTATACACCACATAGTGCCATAAACATCTGAGATGTAACTGAGAACATTTCAAACATATGCGATCACCCAGCAAAAATGATATGGATTTCATAGGAAATAACAAGGATACATGTTGAAATAAAGTACTATTTTTATATGAGACAGGTGAGAAAAGATCAAACAGGGCAAATTTAACTTCAATTCAGTACTGGTTAACTTTTCATAACTGAGTTCTTTTCATCATTTTTAAACTTATTCGTGCAAATCTTAGGTTGAATATAAACCTCTAGTGCCATAGAATGAATGAATTATATGTGAACTTCGTATTCATCAATAAGTGTCCTTTAAAAGTATAATTTGAGCCTCAGCGAGATTTTGCTAAACACATATTTGTGCTTGGATTACATATTTATTTAGAAGCTCACCTTGCTTGAAATGCCTCTTGAGTCAAATTAAAAGTCGTAATTATATGCTTCTAGGTTTGCATGCATATTCTGACACATATCTCTCTCACTCATGGAAGAAGTAAATAAGTGAACTTAAAAAAAAAAAAAAAAAGATAGAAAGGGGCCAGGCGGTGGTGCAATGCTAGAATGTGATGCTCTGAGCCTGACCCACAAAGGAAGCTCTGCGTTTGTGTCTGGAGACCTTCCTGAGTACACTGAGCGCATACATGCTCATGATCCAGGGTTACCTGAAGCTGGGAGTTTTGTGGGTGCTGTTTCTGTGTCTTTTGCTCTTTCTCTTGCCCATGGAAGAAACAAAGGAAGTAACTTCATTTCCTGCCATATACCAGTTTGGGTTCAGGATCAGCTCTGCTTCTCTTCCCTGGCATGTGACTCCCACCTTTAAACCCTTATACCATTTCGCTTTCTCCTCACTTAGCAATGCTGTCCTTTTCCTTCAAACTTTTTTTTTTTTTTTTGTACATTTGGAAAAGCAGAAAGTAGTACAGTGAATTTTCATATACCTACCATTTTATTTAACAAATTTTGTTTTTGTTTGTTTTTTTAGAGGTTTTTGCTATAGGGCGCATGCACTCACCAGAAAGACAGAGAGAGACAGAGAGACAGAAAGTGAGAAATCATCCCCCAGGGGGATGGCCACACCACAATCCCTTCTCCTTCATTCTCCTCTTGGGATCTTGGGCACTCATGCACATGTGCTCAACATGAGTTTAAGCCACAGGGCCCAGGAGTCAAACTGCAGTCCACTCCATGGGAGTCTAGTGACATAGCCATTATGCCATCTGCTGGCCCCCATTCAACAAGTATTAACATAATGCCAAAATTATGACCCATTATCTTTGTTCAGGATCTATGTCAAAAACAAACAAACAAACAAAACTGAGATATTCTTAAATGCTCTTATAAACCTAAATAATGAATAGTAAGTAATTTCCTAATATCATGTAAGGACTGGTAAAGACTAGCTAAGTAGCCAGGCACAGATGAAGCTGGTATATTTACAGTTCTAGATAGTCTTTTCTCTTTTTGTATTTATTATCTTTGATGAAATTTCCTGTTTCCTTATACCACATAACCGGATTCCTTTCCTTTGCCCCAGTGACCTTGTAACACCCATAAATAAACTACATTGGCGGTGGATAATGTGTTACTTTATGACTGATTGCAAGGTACTATTTAGCACACTTCTTTGTGCATGTTTCTCCAAACACTTTGTATTTCCTTGAGGTAGAGAGCACATTCTATCCTAATCTGATATCCCAAATCACCTTACAGTTCAATATAGATAGAACTCAATGTATATTGACTGATTAATATCTGATTCCCCACTTGGTAGCTGTATTTTCTCCCTCTCTACATCCCTCCATCTAACAATTGCACACTCTTGACCCCTTTTGGCTGTGTCTTTCTTTACCTCATACCCAAGCTTTAGAAACCACAGTAGCTCAATAACCTGAGATAATTAATTCATCTTTAAAAAGCAACCAGTGATTAGCCTTCCAAAGGGAGGATTAGACATTTCTTCCACTTAAGAAATTATGTTTTATTACTTTTGGCGAGTCTAGGATTAATGTTTTACATTTTCAGAATATTTTACCATAATTAGACCTCTAGCATGGAGGGGTTGTATCATTCTCCAAGGATCATTTAATTCTTAAACCTCCTGCCAAGAGAGTGCTTGGTGGTGTAGTGGTAGTAGTGATATTTATACCCAGCTTGCTGGGAGAAGGGCCAAGGCAGTCAGCTGATTTTATAGAAAGGCTCTGGAAAGTCATTGAGTGGTCACAAGACTTCAACTTGGGCTGCTGACGCAGTGGGAATTCAGTCTCAGAGGTCATGCTGCCACCCTGCTAGGACACATGGCAAATGGCACATACTTTCCTTTAGTTCCTAGACTATACTGAATACTTATGGGTATTCAGTAACTACTGTCCAAAGGTACACTGCAGACCTTTCATAATGAGCTAGATGTATGCATGTCCAGAAAAAAATTTGAGTTATATAGAAGTTTTTAGAGGACAATGTTAGTTTGTAAATTCCTGGAAGGCAAAGACAGATCTCTTTTAATAACATTAATAGCAACACTAACGATAACAATGACTAACATTTATTGGATGCTTTCTCTGAGGTACCTTTCTAGAAAGTTTACCTATATGATGAACCCAGTCAATCTTTATAACTACTCAGATGCCATATTTGTCTCTATTTTAAAGATTGGGAAATATTTTTAAAAAGATTAGATAACAATCCCAAGGTCACATAATTAAGTGGTACAGCCAAGAATCAAACCCTAAAGCAGTCTGGTTCCATAGCCCTCATCCTTAGTATACACCACATAGTGCCATAAACATCTGAGATGTAACTGAGAACATTTCAAACATATGCGATCACCCAGCAAAAATGATATGGATTTCATAGGAAATAACAAGGATACATGTTGAAATAAAGTACTATTTTTATATGAGACAGGTGAGAAAAGATCAAACAGGGCAAATTTAACTTCAATTCAGTACTGGTTAACTTTTCATAACTGAGTTCTTTTCATCATTTTTAAACTTATTCGTGCAAATCTTAGGTTGAATATAAACCTCTAGTGCCATAGAATGAATGAATTATATGTGAACTTCGTATTCATCAATAAGTGTCCTTTAAAAGTATAATTTGAGCCTCAGCGAGATTTTGCTAAACACATATTTGTGCTTGGATTACATATTTATTTAGAAGCTCACCTTGCTTGAAATGCCTCTTGAGTCAAATTAAAAGTCGTAATTATATGCTTCTAGGTTTGCATGCATATTCTGACACATATCTCTCTCACTCATGGAAGAAGTAAATAAGTGAACTTTAAAAAAAAAAAAAAGATAGAAAGGGGCCAGGCGGTGGTGCAATGCTAGAATGTGATGCTCTGAGCCTGACCCACAAAGGAAGCTCTGCGTTTGTGTCTGGAGACCTTCCTGAGTACACTGAGCGCATACATGCTCATGATCCAGGGTTACCTGAAGCTGGGAGTTTTGTGGGTGCTGTTTCTGTGTCTTTTGCTCTTTCTCTTGCCCATGGAAGAAACAAAGGAAGTAACTTCATTTCCTGCCATATACCAGTTTGGGTTCAGGATCAGCTCTGCTTCTCTTCCCTGGCATGTGACTCCCACCTTTAAACCCTTATACCATTTCGCTTTCTCCTCACTTAGCAATGCTGTCCTTTTCCTTCAAACTTTTTTTTTTTTTTTTTTAAAAGAGGTTTTTGTCTTGGGACCAGCAGTTAGCGTAAGGACTGTGTTGCTGAACTCCCTTGTAGTCAACTGCGGTTCAAGTCCCGGACCCCGTGGCTTAAACTCACACTGGGCGCGTATGCGTGCGTGCCCAAGATCCCTAGAGGAGAATGGAGAAGGGATTGCAGCGTGGCCATCCCCCCCGGGGGGTGATTTCTTGCTTTCTGTCTCTCTGTTTCTCTCTGTCTTTCTGGCGAGAGCACATGCCCTGTAGCAAAAATAAATAAATTAATTAATTAATAATAAAATAAAAATTTTAAAAAGAGGTTTTTGTCTTAGTGTGTATGCCTTGTGGGGGTAGGGGGAAAAACAGTGAGAGAGAAAGTGAGAAGTCACCCCCCAGGGGGGTTAGCCACGCCACAGTCGCTTCGCCTCAGTTCCCCTCCCAGTATCTCAGGCATAGATGCACATGCGCCTGACATGATTTTCAAGCCACCAGGTCCAGGACTTAAACTGCTGTCAGCCATGTGGGAGTTCAGTGACATAACCGCTATGCCATCTGCTAGCCCCCCCTTTTCCTTCAAACTGTTAAGACTTACCCTTCAGGGTACTAGTCCTCTCAACATCTCTAAACAAGTTGTTTAAGAACCAATCATGTTCCCAACTCAACTATAAAATCCACAAGAGCCAGAACCAATTACAGTTACTATTCTATGACAGGCTGACCTCTTTCTGTGATTCAGAAATGGTGTGTGTAATGTGATGCAAAGATGATTTGATATCAGCATGCAGAGAATGATTAGAAAGGATACTGGCCCACAGAATTCCGAGTATATGCCTGCCCACAAATAACTGTGTTCCAGCTATTGTTACTGAATTTCAAATAAAGACTGAACAGAATGTGTTTAAGTTCAGGAGGCCAGTTAAAATTAGTCAATATTTTTATATGGGTAAATACTCTGCTTCCCCCAAAACTGAATTGTCTCTACTTACATGTTATAAATAAAGTAACTGAGTCTTAGGGAAGTTAAATTCACAGAGTTATGTGTCAAATCCAGGATTAAAACACTGGTCTATTTGGCTCCAAAATTCACATTCTTACTATTTTATTAGATAATTTCATTTACTACTTTGTATTCTAATGCTTGATACCTACAGGAGGTTCAATAAATGTTTGACAATACTTTAAAATAATAACAAAAAATTCATATATCAGAGTTTTATGTAGTTTTAAAAATATGCTACAGAATGCATGCACTCACCAGAGACAGAGGTGAGAAAGCCCCCACCGGGGGTTATGGCCATGCTGCAGTCCCCTTTCTGCCATTCTGGATATGTATGCACACACCCAGCATGTTTTTTCAAGCCTTCTGGTCCAGGACTTGAACCACACAGTTGGCTCTGTGGGGATCCAGCCACCGTAACCACCATGTCGCTGACTGGCCCTATTCATTTTTAGAAGTCATCTTTACATGTTGTTAAAAATTATATAGGGGACCAACAGGTGGCATGATCAGTAAGGTGCTGGACTCCCACATGGTTGGCCTCAGTTCAATGCCCAGACCTCGTGGCTTGCTTTCTCGCTTTCTCTCTCCCTCTCTCTGATGAGTGCACATGCCTGGCAAAATTTAGAAAATAATAATAATTATTATTTAGCAAAATTTAGAAAATAATAATTAAATTCTAAAAACTAAATAAATAAAATTACGTAATTCTTAAAAAAAAAAATAATGGGGGCCAGCAGGTGGTATGGTGGTTAAGGGCACTGGACTACCACCTGACTGACCACAGTTCGAGTCCTGGACCTGGTGGCTTGCTTTCTCACTTTCCCTCTCTCTGTCTCTCTCTATCACTCACTCTGTCCTTCTCTGGTCAAAATATGTAAATAAACAAAGGTAAATACAATAATTCTTAAAAAAAGAGAGAGAGAGGAGTGAATTGTACTACTGACAAGAAAAGAGCTATTATTAACTAAATAAATTGTGTAAAAAAAAAAAAAATTAGATGGGGCCAGCCAGTGGTGGAGTGGTTAAGCCAGCTGGATCCCACATGGTTGACTATATGGGTTGAGACCCAGATCCCATAGTTTGAAAAATACACAGAGTGCATGTGCATATATACCAAATAATCCAGAAAGGAGAGTAAGGTGAAGGAGAAAAGATTTTGACATGTCTATCCCCATGTGGTTTGTGTGAGGGAATGCTTTCTCACTTTCCCTCTCTATCTCTGGCAAGCACACGCACTCTCTGACAAGTTAAAACAGCAATAACAACAACAAAAAGATCATATGCATTTTTGCCCCATTAGGGCATCAGAGACGCTATGAGAGGCCCTAGAGCTAAATGAATTGTACCAGAAAGGAAGAAGAATGAAGCACCAAGGGACATATGGATCTGAAAAGCCCTAGAGAAGGTTAGGACTTGACCAAGCTAAGAAGGAGACAGAGAAGAAAGGAGGAGGCTGGAGAATGCTGGCATTTGGCTTTGAAGGTTTCCCATGTGGGAGCAGGATGGGATATGAGGCAGACAGGCCCTAGTAAAGGAGTACCTTAAAATCAGATAGGAGTTTGAACATTACCCTGTAATTAATGATACATGTTTGAGACAGTGCTGGTTCAAAAACAGTGTGAAGAAAGAAGAATTGGGAAGCAGCAGTTAGCGTAATGGCTATGTCGCTGGACTCCCACATAGTCGACCGCGGTTCGTGTCCCGGACCCGGTGGCTTAAAAGTCACGCCGGGCGCGTGTGCGTGCGTGCCCAAGATCCCAAGAGGAGAATGGAGGAGAAGGGATTGCGGCGTGACCATCCCCCCTGGGGGGTGATTTCTCGCTTTCTGTTTCTATGTCTCTCTCTCTCTGTCTGTCTGGCGAGCGCACGCGCCCTACAATGAAAATCTCTCAAAAAAAAAAAAAAAAAAGAAAGAAGACTGTACAAGATAAGTGCAACCCAGAATTCTATTAAAGAAATATTTATTAACAACTCAGACCTACAGACTATTTTCTTCTCTAGTTTGAATATATCTGGGCTCTAAATTTAAATATTTCTTCAATTTCCATAGGAACTTTCCAGAGTCCTTTCTTTATTGTTGTGATTTTGCTTCTGGAGCGGTGGAGCTAGTAAAGGTATGCCTTATACTGTTTTTAAAGATAGTCAATGTAAAGTGCTTTTGAAGGGTTTCTGGATCAAGTGCTATCTGGGGCCATTTTTAACTGAGCTATTAATGGTTTCCAGAAATCATATCATCAACTGCCTGTGAATCCTAAAAACAAGAGAAGTTGTTTGGAATTTAAGATAGACCTTCAAAGGATTGGTACACTTGGAAAGGCCAACAGCACACAGCAAGTGACCAGGGAGGGTACTGACCTACAAAATTCAAAGTATACAGCCTGCTCATGAAACCATGGTCCAAACAGAACATGTTTAAATTCAGAGGAGACAAATTAAAATTAAGCAAAATTTTTACATTTTATGTGTTTCTGCCCCCTCCCCAAAATAATGGATTTTTCAATTATTTCTGCAAGATGACCTTATTCATATTTGTATCCTATAGTCCTACACAATCTGGCACATAGTAAACATTCATTAAAGTAACATTTTTGAAGTTAAAAAGATCTGAAAAGGCATATGAGGCAAATCTATAATGTCCTGGACTAAAATTAAAATAGCGGGGAGCCTAGATTTGTTTGACAAAGTATGAGCACCGGAGGCCACGTGGTGACCAACGTTCAGATCCCTGACCCAGTTAGCCTGGAACATGCCGGTGCACTGGAGGGCTGGAGGAAGGGGATCATGGCGTGACTAGACACTACAGAGGGTGCTTCTCTCTCTGTCTCTCTCTCTCTGTCTCTCATGTACTTTATCATGAATAAAGGAAATAAGCCATAAATCATGAAAAACGTTTACCTTTTGTTAAAAAAAAAAACTAAGTAAAAACCTAATTTCTGTTAAGAGTATTAATTATTTAGTGTAGATGTTTTCTAAAATACTAAAAAGTCTAAAGGGGAAAATAAAATTGACCTGCAATTACACTTTCTAGAGTGAATTAATATTAGTATTTTTATCCTTCTCGTGTCTTTTCTGTAGACAAATTGTGTTACTCTAATGCAGTTTTTAAATTTTTTTAGTGTATTTTTATTCATGATAGAGAGCATGTCTGCACACATAAGAGAGAGCTAGAATCTCCCCACAGGGCCTGGTCACTTCTCAGTCCTTTTCCACCAGTTCTTCATTCTGACAAGATCCTGTTGTGAAACCAAAGGGACCAGGATTCAAAACCAAACGGACCTGATCAGCCCATGTGGAATCCTGACTAACCATGAGCCTCCAGGCTAGCTCTCTAATACAAGTTGTTAAAATAACAGCTTTATTGGAATATAGGTCACATACCATAAAATTCACTATTTTAAAATAAACAATACTATGGTTTTTAGTGTATGTACAGAGTTGTGCCACCATCACTGTTATCTACCTTTGATGATACAGTGGAAAGCTGAAGCTGTGGGAAACCTCTTCTAATCTTGGTGAAGTACTAGGCCTTCTCATGCAACAGCATGTAGTTACTGAGTACCTGTTAGGTACATAGCCCTGAGGTAGGCTCAGACAGCAAGGAAGAATACAAAGAAGGAGGAAGCACCTGCCCTGAGAGCCTTCTAACCAATCTAGTTTATTGCAGACCCTTGGATGAATGGTGAGCCTTTCAAGCCTTCACAGAAGCAGCTCCCAATATATAAGTGCACAACCCTGTCGTGCTCAGGTTCTGTCTTTATCCCAGGCTTGAGCTAGTGAGTGCACCAAAGTACCCTTCAAAAAGATTTCTCTTTGGTTTCCCCAATTAGTTCTTTTGATCTCATCATCCTTTAAAAAAAAAAAAAAAAGAATTATTTTATTTTATTTTATTTATTTTTAATTTGATCAGAGAGGGAGGAGTGAGAGAGAGAGAGAAAGGGAAAGTGAGAAAGGAAGCCGCCAGGTCTGGGACTCAAACCATGGTCAGCCATATAGGAGTCCAGCGCCCCTAACCACCACGCCTCCAGCCAGCTCCCCTACTGATTCCTAAAGCCTGCCGCCCTCCACTTGGCAACGTAAAACGAAATTGCAAAGAATATTTGTTATCAAGTCCAGGTACTAGGCTTAATTTTTTAGGGCAGCTCGAGATAAGCTAACAATACTGAGTTAGAAATAAAGCACATCCAAATTATAGAGGAAAGGCATTTGGAAGAAAAGGTTTAAAAAAATGGACTTTTTTATTTTTAAAAAATCCTGGAAGTCTGCTGACTGCTTTCTTTGCTCTTTACTGCTTTATCATGACAGTCACACTCGTCCTACAGAGCAGGCCAGTGTTCCGCCTTTGTTCATGATGTGTGTGATGAAGGTTCACCCTACCCTTTTCCAGATGGGATCCTGGATGTTGTTCTCCTTGTCTTTGTGCTCTCTGCTATTCACCCTGACAGGTAAATGAAGACGAAAGGGCAAAGCAAATGTGTGAAGCTTCTACCTCATTCATGGGTTTCTGAATTATCAAAGCAAAAAATGACAATTCTTGAATTTATTATTTAGCAAACTACATTATATATAATGTGCAGCCTTTTAAGTACAGCTTTTCCTTTCTCCAGACTTTGAGAGAGGAGCTGGTCAAACTGCTTCATTAGTGAGCTTTCTGTCACTGTCAGAATGAAGTGAGCATATTCAACCAAGACACATACCTATTAAAAGTGACAGTCTTCAAGGAAATTATAAATTCAGAACAGCCTAATAGACTCCCAAGAGGGAAATTGTACTTGGTGATCAGAAACAAACATCTTTGATTTAGCATCTTCCAGAATGTTCCTAAAAAGGTGGACTGCAGATCTGTTTGGCATCACACAGGTCTATTGATGGGCTTTAAATTTTTTATTTAAATGAAGCCCACTAGGGAATTAGGGGTTACCCCAAATTTGCCAGATTATCTTCAGACCTTTATGATACAAGGTTGGCCTGGTGCCATCATTTAAGTATTTATAACTTAGATTTTTATGTTTGCACAATGTTTTAAAACTATAACATATCTTCTTTCTCCAGAGAGAAAATAGAAAGAGATATTACCAGCAATTAAAATGAGCATCTTTCTTAAAATCCTGCCACCTTCTCTGTATTAAAGCGTGTGTGTGTTAAATGTCAGGGCTTATGCTTTTGTAGGCTTTTTTAAATTAGGTTTTCACAATCCCCAGTAGGACATACAGACTTGGCATCAGCCAGGTTTGCTTTGATGAGTGTGACCCTTCTCCACAGAAATTGAGGTACCATGTGTTTCATTCTTTGCAATTACGAGGACACTAGGACTTGACAGTCTTTTTACTTCCCATTCAGAGATGAGCACTTCGATTACTTATAGAACAAATTAGATTTCCAAATAAATCCAAAGGGAAGATACATTTATATCTGGTGAGATATATCATGTTCCATGAAGCTACGTTTTCCTCCTAGTTTGTATAACCTATTTCTTTCTGTTTAGACCATTGGCATTGTTCAGGGACTAGTAGAAAGATGTCATCTATGTATTTTGGTTCCTTACATAACAGATAAAAGGATAGAGTAGGTGGATAAAGAACAAGATTTCCTATTTGACATCCATATCAGGAAACACTGACATTCTAAATAAAAACCACAAAAAGACTATTTGAAATTAGTTTGGATAATGTTTTTTCTCATGATTTGAATTGAATGTTAAAGAGAAGGGGAAGCAGATGCCTTGGGAAGATTGCTTTTATAGTACAGTATGGCATTATACTTTATTATGAAATAAATTCAGATGTATCGTGTCAGCAGCTATTTTCTTACCTTTGTGGAAATTATCTGAAAATATGGTGAATGAATAGCAGGCAGGGGTGGAGGGCAGAAATAGTAAGTGAAAAGACAAGGCAGTTTCTTTAGGGTCAGTTATTACTGTGGTAGTTGGTTCAGCCCCAGGAAAATTCTAGAAAAGTGGCTTGGCAGCTTGGAAAATTCAGGCACAAAGGCACAGCAGGCAATTCTGGTAGACCTTGTGTCTGGGGGTTCCAGTTTAAATGAGAATTAATTGTAGGAGACTACAAAAGAAGAGCTAACTGTCCTTCTCGTAACTGAAATAAAAGAAAGTAGAAGATACTACGGATCCAAGCATAGAGAAGACAGTCATTTTTTATCTCTTCTTTTCCCTCCTCCTCCATACAAAGATAGGTGAGAACAGCAGAGACGGCCCGCCCATGTAGGATAAAGAAAAGTTGGCGTAATGGCTACCTCGCTGGACTCCCATGTGGCCAACTGAGGTTTGAGTCCTGGACCCAGTGGCTTAAACTCACGCCAGGCGCGTGTGCGTGTGTGGCCAAGATCCCAAGAGGAGAATGGAGGAGAATGGATTGTGGTGTGGTCATCCCCCCAGGGGGTGATTTTTTGCTTTCTGCCTCTCTGTCTCTGTCTTTCTGGCAAGCACATGTGCCCTATAAAAAAATTAAATTAAATTAAAAATTAAAAAGAAAAAGAAAGATACACAGATGGGGCACTTGTGCATGTGTGCCCAAAATTTCAAGAGAAGAATGGAGGAGAAGGGATTGTGGCATGGCCATCCTCCTTGGGGATTGATTTCTCATTTTCCTATGCTCTGTCTCTCTGTATCTCTCCAGAAGCACACACTCTTTATGGCAAAAATTAAAAACTAGAAAAGAAAAGCAGTTCCTTGTTCCTTGCCTTTATCTTCAACCTCAGACATGAAAGGATACTTACTTGGGAGGAAAGGACTTGTAGAAGGTAACTACATTTTTTTTTTTAGAGGTTTTTGCTCTAGGACATGTGAGCTCCTCAGACAGACAGAGAGACAGAAAGCAAGAAGTCGCCCCCCCAGGGGAATGGCCACACCACAATGCCTTCTCCTCCATTCTCCTCTCTGGATTTTGGGAACATGCACACATGCCTGGTGTGAGTTTAAGTCACTGGGTCTAGGACTCGAACCGCAGTTGACTGCATGGGAGTCCAACTACATAACCATTATGACAACTGCTAGTCCCGAGGTAACTACATTTTAAATTGGTTGTTTATTTTTCTGCATTTTAGTTTTATGTTTGTTTTCTAGTAATTATATAAAAAGATTTTGTGTGTAAAACATTTATCCTGAAGTTGAGTATTTCTTTCCTTGCCAAACCCTAAGACTATAAACATAGTATGAAAATAACCTGTAATAAAATAAATAAGGAAAAATACTTTTTGTTTTCCCTTTCATGTACTTATCTTCCAGTTTTTTAGAAGAGCTTTTATACCTCATCATGCTACCTCTGTCATATTTCTCTCTTGCTTTCATAATTGTCTTCATTTTTTCATTATCTACTTCCTTGATAACATGCATAATCTGGCTTTCACCCACTGTTGTATTGAACAGTGTTTTCATTAGAAAAAAGTCACATGTTACCTGATCTAAACTCCTCTAAATCAGTTTTAAAATATTAAAACCTTAGCAGCTTTAACTAGCTTGAATAAAGCAGGCCCAGTGAGGACTTAGCACATGGGCTACGGCTTACGGCTGCCAGTGGCAGACATTGATAATGATTCTGTACTCTGTCTTTTCTAGTGAGTTCCCCATGTCTTCAAGTGAGGTTTGTAGGCAACTAGTGACAGTCAGCATTGATCCAAGATCTGAAATCTTTGTCATCCCTAACCCATAAAAATAGATATGAAGACCATGGACACTTAACCAAAAATGCTAAATCAAGAGGTTGGATTTTATTGGAAGACAGATGAGTAGAATAAATAATAAAAGGAAGAAACCAAAAGCTTCCCAGTAAGAGCTGGGGCTTAGCATGTCAATAAAATTTGAATTGGCAGAGAATAAGGAGGAGTAAATTCTTTGAGGGGAAACCACAGGAGTAAAAGTATAGTCTGCTCAGAGAGGAGCATCTAAGGGTTTGGCTAGAGGAGATGCTTCAGACAGGAAACAGTGGGAAAGATGCTGGAAAGATTCACTGGAGCCAGCAGTAGGAGATCTTAATATACTTAACTAAGAAATTAAATTTTACCTATGGATTCAAATTATCACGAAAGCTTTTGATCAAGGGATGATTTGTCAAAACCATCATTTTAATGTAGAGTAACTCATCAGTAATGTGCAGGAAGAATTGAGAGGGAAAATAATAAAGCATGTTGGAAAGTAGTTCTGTTTCCAGGCTTATGGAGATAGGTGTTTGCACTAAGGGAGTACAAATGGGAAACAAAACAGAAGATATCAAAGATGCCATTTAAAACAAAGGAAAAAATGAAGACAGGATCTGAGGACCACAAAGAAAAGAAAAAAATAAGCAGTCTCTCTCTCATGAGATGAATGGTGATACCTTTGAACTTAATAAAGAACTGAGAAGAATGAGCTGGTTTGGGAGGAAAGATGATTCCTGCTTAGATATGTACAGTTTGGGATGGCTCTGATATACTTTTTATACTGTAAAGAAAATGAAGTGCCTGCAGATTTTGTCTACCCAGAACTACTTAAATTTGCTGTAAATATGAGGAAATGTCTTTGGTTTTACAGTTCTGCTTTGGCATCATATCAAGCTCTGTGAAGTTACCACTCTAATCATTTGGGTGATTTCTTAGGTCTTTGGAATGTGGTCATTTAGTTTAGTGTCCTTTTTACCCCTTGACAAAACTTTTGTTTTTGTTGCTCTTACATTTGTGGTTTAGATATGTTCTCTGGCCTTCTCAAGCTTTCCTTATTTTGTCTCCAAGGAGGTTAAATCTGGCATCTAAAACACAGATTTCCTCATACAAGGTATCGTACTTGTTTTCACAGGATGCAAGGTGTTATAAACCGGCTGTCCAAGTTACTGAGACCTGGTGGAATGCTGTTATTTCGGGACTATGGAAGATATGATAAGACTCAGCTTCGTTTTAAAAAGGGTAATAATATATTCAGTTTGGAGTTGTATGTGTTTTAAAAGAATTTCTTACTTATATTTCATGGTGAATTGTTTATTTTGTCTTTTTTTTTTTACCATGAATCAAATTTCCTCAAAAGGGGGATTTTATTGATTAGTTTATTCCCTCACAAATAGACCAGCTGTAATCAAATGAGGTGAACATATACCTCAAGATTTTATTGTCTTCATAGTAGAAAAGATGAGGCTTAGAACTGGATCACTTGACCTTTCTCTTATCTCCTCCCAGTTCAAAATGCTTACATCTCTTAATAGCCAGCATCCTCTTAGATCTGTAGTTGGGCCTCAGCACAATCTTCTTTGTAGTCTTTGCCTTTTTCTGGAAAATAGGCTTAGTCTGTCCACCGTAGCCACTCTACTTCCTGTCATAACACCGCTTCCCCTAAGCATACAGAGAATCCTTGCCCTTTTTGTACTGTGTCACTTTGTGAGGTTGGTGCTTGCCACAGTTCTTACAGAAGACCTGGCGAGTTTTAGGGACGTTCACCATGCTTGCGGGTCTGCTATCTGCACAGAAAGCCAATTTGTCTTTTTAAGGAATATTAAGTTTCTCTTTTCACAATTATTTTTTAGGGCATTGTTTATCCGAAAATTTTTATGTTCGAGGAGATGGTACCAGAGCGTATTTCTTTACAAAAGGTATGCTAATCTGCAAGAGGAAATAATTAGCTTTAAAAACTCTCTTTGATTATTATATTAGGAAGAAACTCAAAAGGTATATGAATGAGGCTTCAGTTGTTGATTATACATTGGAAGCCTTCATACTTTGGTGGTTGTAACTGGTCTACATAAAAGCTTGAACGTGGCCTTTCTGCCTTTTAATCTTTTTACAGTTAAAACTGCCTTAAAGAGTCACTTATTTCATCCTCACACTCAAGTGAAGGTAGAGTCTGTTCCATTTTGTAGATATTGTTAGCCCAGATATGAAAAAAAAAATTGATTATATGCCACAGCCAAATGAGAGAGTTTTGTGTTATAAATCTGTAGAAAATTACTTATCTCTTGTCAGTTTCTTATTTTAAAAAAGTATTTCTGACAGTACCCAGCAAAACCTGCCTTCAGGCATTTCCCCAAGCTTATGTGGGAACTTCTATAATGTGCTATTTTGGGTCTCCATAAACCTACAGAAACTCAGAAAGGGGGCATCTTAATGACCCAGCCACAGTGATACAGGCAGTAGTGTTCTGCTGAGTAATGCGGGACCTATATGGGGGCCCTGGTTTGGACACCAGGTCTACTGAACATGCCACACCCACCTGTGTGATCCTAGGGGCAGGGAGACTGGAGGGGAGGGTTGTAGCATGTCTGTCATGTCTCTCTCTCCTTCATGAAAGAAAGAAATGAACTTTCAAAGGGACTAGCAGATTGCATAATGTTTACGTTGCTGAACTTCCATGTAGCTGACTACAGTTCGAGTTCCAGACCTGGCAGGCTTAAAATTTACACTGGGCACATGTGTGTGCATGCCCAAAATCTCGAGAGAAGACTGGATGAGAAGAGATTGTGGCATGGCCATCCCTCCTTCAACCGGGGACTGGGGGTGATTTCTTGTTTTCTGTCTCTGTCTCTCTGGCAAACATATGTGTGCTATAGCAAAAATCTCTCTTGAAAAAAGAAAAAGTAGGGACCAGCAGTTAGTGTAATGGCGATGTCGCTGGACTCCCGCGTAGTCGACTGCGGTTCGAGTCCTGGACCCGGTGACTTAAAT